TTATTATTATTTTTTTTTTTTTGATTACAACAATTTGAACAAAAGAGTTTTCCGAAATTTTAATTTTTTGGTAAAAATGTCTCCAAAAAATTCTATTTTCAGTTTTTTCCCTTACTGCAAATTCCAAGTTAAGGTTTTAACTAATCACTTTAGACAATCCTGTAAGGAGCTATCGTTCATTTTTTATATGGGAAAAAAATTGTTGAAAAAATTTTTGAATATCTTCAATCTTGTTGTCATGCATAGTCAATAAAGTTATTATTATTATTACAGCGCTGAGTCCTAGAAGATTTTTTTTTTTTATTTTTTATTTGCAGCCAGAATGTAGGTAGCTTATTTGGTAAGAGTCTGTTTAAGAGAACAGGCTGAAACTGCAGCTTTACCAAATAAAACAAAAAGTTTAAATTTAATGATTCGGATCTTCCTTTTACCAATCAATCGATAAATAGGTTACCAGCTGCACCAAAGTTAAGGAAAACTTTTCATTCAATACATAGAAGTTAGGCATTTCATTGCAATAAAATCCTCAAAGTAGACATTTTAAACGTCGTACTGCCTGAGATAATTAAATTAGAAATAGTATTATCACTTATTAGTTCAATGTGATATTGTTTGAATCGAAGCTGTTAATTAACAGAGAGCTGTAAAGTGCTCACTAAGCCTTCACACCAGCACTCAACCACTCTGTACAGAAACGACGGCATCGGAAAAACATCGCCTTCACACAAATGAAGTTTCATTATGCGCTTCGTAACAGCCGAAGTTGGAGGTGAAGCAGCAAAGCGGAGGCATTTCATGCAATCGCGCTATTTACTGTCGGTTTGATGGCTAACAGTAGTTTAATGTTAATGCTTGCTTTGGCCTCATAGCGACTGCTAGCTGGTCGTCTGTTAGCTGTTATGTTGTCGTAGCCGTGTCGTTTCGAACGTTCGTATTGCCGCATGCGACGCATGTTGTCCCTTTGCTCAGCTACAATGCGCGGCGGTGAGTGAGATTTTGTTATTTGCTGCTTTGCGCGCAGTTCTTACGTTTATCAGCAACTTCATGGCTAACAGCATTTCCAGTAGTTAACGTCAATTCAAAGTGAACGGTGGTAAACGTTAACGTTTACGCGTGAACAAAACGGAAAAAGTCGTCAACATTTTCGTCACTTCGCCTTCGTACGCGTATGCGATTGCTGTCGTTGTCGTTGTCGTTGTCAGCGTCATTGTTGTTGCAGTCGCCGTTGTCAGTGTCACTGTCAAACGCGTTGTAATTGTCGGCTGTGTAGCGGATATTAAGTGAGTGCGCCTTTTTGAAACGAAATCGACAATTTAATGAAAATTGAATTTTGCGCGCGAGCATAAGTAATCTCTTCGTGAGGAATCGTTACCGAAAATTCAACTGTGAAGGCGAGTACTTTTTGAGGTTATGTGTGGTATGAAAAGAGTTTAAGTGCTTTAAGAAATGTCGGTTCTAGCACATCTTCGCTGTTCCTTGTAAACTAAATCACAAAGTGTGTATGTGTGAAAGGCTGATAGCAGTTGTAGTGGGGCCAGTACCTTTCTGACCGTTAAAATGGCATAAGTACATAATATACAATTTAAGATAAGTGACTTATTTGATAAGTAACTATACTTACTTGTATATAAAGCTCTTGCTTTGAGTAAAAATAAGACATATTGATGTGTTAATGAGCTTTGCCGGAGAAATGTGTTCGAACACAAAGTGAAAAAAAGTTTTCGCTCGGAAAATAAACGAATTTTATGCACAATTTGCTTATTTGGCAGAAAACTTACGCCTTCAGTTTGTTTATTATTGTTTTCTTGTGTTCTTAAAGTTCGCCAAACTACTGTATTGACGAAAGACCGAAAGATATGAAGCATCTTTGGTAAAGTGTGTGTGCATTAAACGGCAAGATTTTGGTTATTTCTTGGGTAAAATAGATAGCAATTAAAATATAATGTGTTGTGTAAATAACTGGTGAAAGCCCATACGAAAACTAGGTAATATTTAATTAAATAAATAAACGTTAGTAACGATATATATAAACTCGAACAGTAAAAAAAAAAAAAAAAGAATCAAAAAAAAAAAAATAATAATAAAAATTTTTGAGTTCGAAAACGTTTTTATTTGCTTTTTAGTAGTTGTGTCATTCCACTTATCGCTATGTGACTGCGTGTCTCCGTGTTGACAAGTCACTTGTGTTAAAAATTCCTACATTCATAAAACGCATAAATCGAGTTTCCACAATATTAAGCTTATATAAGTTTTAGTGTGTGTGAATTTCAAAACAAGTATTTAGTTAACTACATAAAAATAACGCAGAATTTGTGCGTAAGCAGCATACTCAACAGCATTTTTGTAAGTTGCTTCGAGCACAGCATCAGTATCCTGACATTGGCATCGGCTTACGGCTTTTGTGACGCGCCTAAACGTATGCAAAGTGAGTACTAACTGAAGTAGGCCATAAGCTACAAAAAAGCCTCCCGGATAGAGCGGAGAAAGGCAACAAAGAAACAATAAAATAGTAATCAAAGCGTATTAGTGCCTTTGTTGGGCATTGTTAAGTGATGTGCACACAAATAAAGCATTTGCGCACCGAAGAGTGAGCAAAAGTCGCAGATGCTGATTGGTTTTGTCAACGTTGAAATATCTTCAATGTATCTTCTGTTTAGAATTCGGCGCCATGGCTATTGTTTACATTTTAAATCCACTTTTCGGGTGAAACTTGTAATTCGCAGTAAGAGGCTTTATTTATTATATTCGAGGCATTCAAAGCACGAGTTTTCAAAGAAGTGGCTGCAATGTAAAGTTTTTCGAATAAAAACAGCTTGGAACTGTCATGTTGCTTTCTGTTTTTTTTTTTTATTGAAATACAACTGTTAGGGAGAAAAGATTGAAGCTTAGAAATATACTGCGGTTTAATACACACAAACTTTCATTAGAAGCTGACAAATATAGTTTAGCTCGCACTGCGGGTGCTCTGTATTCACATTCCTGTTGTAGAAAATTATGATGTGAGCTTGTTCTAAACAATAATTCTGCATGTTGTCGGATCGAACAAACAAGTTCAACTGCGATATACATATTCGAGTTCAGGCGACTTCGCTCCAAATGGAATTCAATTTGAACCATGGTTCGATCTGAACAATTTCCTCACAGATTGTACCGTTACCTTAAGAAATAATTCCAGCCAAAGTTTGTGAAGATACATCGTGAAATAAAAAAGTTTTCCTTAGAAGGATTTGAGTTTGATTAATCAATTACCATGGCAGGTGTTTACTATAGTGTTCCAAAATCGGTGCTTCCGATAAGAGAGCAGCTTCTGGACACGAAAAAAATTTCAGGAAAACTTCAAAGCGAAGACCAAAAATTGCTGTACATGGATAGAGCTAAATCAACTCAGTCCTTAAAGTGATCATTTTAAGAAAGATCCCGTTTTTTACCTTTCCAAAAAAAAAAAAACAGATACTTTAGATTTTATGTGGAATGTTTTTTTTTTCATTCTAAAGAGTATTTTTTGCCATTTATTGTTTGAATATCATCACTTTCAAATATTGACCACGGCTACGTCTCAGATAGTCCATCCGTTGAGTTCAATTTTCGATAACTCGTTCGAGTATTTCGACCGGTAAATAGCGCATGTCACGCGCGATGTTTTGTGGCAAGGCTCAATCTTAGCAAGGTTGTCCACATAAACCTTAGACTTTACATCTACACATTTTTATTTATTGCAAAGTAATTAGTGATTCCCCCATTATGGCTACTTGAAACATAATTTGCAGAAAAAAGTCAAAGTCCGTAATTTTTGTTGCGATTCGAAATGGCACCGCGACCTAATTAAGTTCTTTTATGTCAAGGCATTTGATTGAAAATTATCATCGCTATTCCATTCTTCGCGGTTGCGTAGTGACCAAATACTCGTACGATAAAATTTAATGAAACCGCACTTAACAAAGTGGCCACGCGACACGTACTTTCACACATACACTGTACTAAAATGAGCAAATGTGAGCAAATCGTCATTATATTGAATTCAAAGAAGTTAACCCAAATAAACATATAAACTGTGTCCTTTTACTTTTGAGCCATTATAAAATAAAATCATTAATGATTGATTTCACCACTCACTACATTTGTCGTAATGTTTTCGTGCTGCTGTGGCAACACTCACATTCCGCTTTGAAATTTACGTAATTGACTCGAAACATAAAAAGTTTGTGGTATTTATTTTCAGTGGAAGAGTGTTGGATAAAAATTGGCGCGTGCGAATGATTGGTAATCTTTTTCCAAAGCTCACATAAATGTGTTATTTGATATCACAACAATGATCCTTAATTGCAAATTATAATTACTTGTTTTATTAAAATTTTAATATTTTTTATATAGTGACATTCAACTATCGGTAATTCGATTATTGAATATTATTCTTGAATGTTTTTGGTAACTTCTTGTTTTAAGCTATTATGTTTTATTTAAATAATGAATAATGGTTTCTTTGCTTTTCGATTATTTTAATTATTTAATTGTCGGTTGGTAGGAAGGTAGAGGGGCTGCTTAACGGCACAAGTAAACCCTTACAAGTTCCATTGTTATACCACCGAGACTAACATCACGTCACTCTATTTTCTTCTCTCTGAACCACTCTGTGCTTCTGAAGAAGTTCATCAGTGCGCAAAGTTGTATATGTGCAACCTCCGAGAAGTCGTCAAAAAATCCTCGATTGTTATTTAAGACTATTTTCCCATACCAAGCTCATCCTCTTTTACTTCCTAACAGCTTCTACAATAGTCATCATATTTCGTTTATAGTTCGTTGACATGTCTGACAATTGGATAGTGAAATATTATTACTCCTAGAGTTACTTTCTTATATGATTTTACTAGATTTTAACAAATTTAGGTGTTTTGGGCATAGGATCAACCACCTACCTGCAGTAAGCACCGCTAATATTTTTCCAGGAATTTTGAGCTTTCTGCCGTAAATTGTTAAGATTTTGACGCTCACCTGGTGTATCGCTGATCGCATGCATGATCTTAACTCAAGCATGTTCGATTTGGTTGAGGTTTGGCGATTGAGAGGTGCACTTAAGTACTTCAAACTCGTGGTTTCGAAGCCAAGCTTAAGCTACCCGAGAAGTGAGTTACGGATCAATATCTTGCTGAAATATGATGTCCGACACATCCTTGCTGACAATTCAAGTTTCCTGCAAAAACCTCGTTAAAGTATAGCAATATATCCCACTCCCTCCATCCTTTCACATCCCCATATCAATGTATTACCCTCTCCAAACTACACCGTTGGTTGATAATACAGCTAGACATTGGTTTGCGAGGTTATCACCAAATCCATTGCTGTCTATCTTTTCGCCCGACCATATGACCCGCATCCAGTAGTTTTAGGTGTAAGATTTAAATTTTTTTTGCAAGTTGAAGTCTTAATATACGGTGTCGTTTTGCCAGGAGTGTTTTTTTTTTTACTTTAACACACAAGAAGGCTTTGCTTAATTGCTGTGATCTACTTTGAAGACACTGCAGTTGTCTGGTAAACGGAGGACGATTTTGGTATCTAGGTTTGCTGCCAGTTCGCACTCGATTATCCAGTTTGAACCCAGCCGTATGGTTGATCTTGCTTATCCTCTTGTCCCCTCGCCCCTTTCCCACTCTTCTCTGAAAGAGAAGGAATATTGGGTACCGTATTTAATTTCAAGTCTATAGGATTCCGGCGAATTTGTGGTATTCGATGGAAACAGTAACTTATTAAGTGACATAGAGTGCCCCTCGTTATTGATGACTAATGGAAAGACTTCCTTTTTTACTGAATTAATTTTTTTTTTTTTTCATTGGAATATTTTTTTTATCTTAATCTAATAAAAATTGAGTGTTTTGTGTTTACTTTTAAATATTACAAATTTAAATTTTTTTAAATCGATTTATCAATAATTTTAGTTATATCTTGCGAACTATTGTTTATACCGCAAATATTGCCCTCAAATTTTTTTAATGGAAATACCACATTTTTTCCTAATTAGCACATCATATGTCATACGCAAGTAGGACGTATAATGTGATTTTTTTTGTTTTTTTTTTTAATATGGCTTACGAAATGCAATACAGTTATGAAATTAAAATATGAATAGAAATTTGAAATTTTAAAAAGGCATCACTTTGTCGCCCAAACGCCATTACGTTGAACCCCTTAATTCAAACACAACTTTTTGATTTCGTAGAAAATGAAATATCCATTGAATAAATATTTCTGAAACTCAACACTCTTAATATCCCATAAAATCAGAAAAGCTTGTACACCCTTCACACTGACACATAATTCTCGTATACGAGCGTGCCATTATTTATGCATAAAATTAGGCAGATTTCTACACAGATTTGTTTGCAGGGCTTTCATGAAGTTAAAGCAACACTAACAAATACATATATGGAATTATTTACGGCCCATATGCAAGCGAATACGCCTGTTTAGCACAATTCAGAAGTCATCACACTGGCAATATTTTACTCACGTGTGCCAAGTCGCCAGCTTCAGGCTCGACAGCGGCGTATGGCGCAAGGTTGGCTGCCGAGGCTGGTTTTGTCGGAATTTTTAAGCATCCTGTCAGAAGCCAAACAAACACAAAACATAACATAACCGCAACAACAGCAACAACCTACATACAGCGAAGCAGCAAAGTTTGCATTGTTAAAATAAGCAAGCCGAGAAAGGCGCAGCAACAAAATTATTTTAGGTCAGACGTTAAGATTGCTGCACACGTCTGTCTTCTGGCTGAGTGAAAATGAAAAACACCTACGTGTAGGTAACAGTGACTTTGAACGCATAAATAAATAAATACTGAGGGCTCAAAGGCTCTTAAAGGGAAGCCAATAAGCGAAAGTCCAGGCCCATAATGCCGGGTACTTTGTTGGTGGGTGTAATAAATATTTGCAGAAGCTTCACCTTTCTGCCACTTTGCTGGACATACGGTGGATGCTCATTCTCTGTCAGTAAAAGTGAAGGCTGATTGATAAATTTTGCATTACACTTTGTCATCATCGTCAGTGCCTTCTTAACTCAGAGCTAAGGGCATTAAAGAGCATACTTAATCGTGTCGCCGCAAGATTTTATGACTGCTATAAGCCGCAACGCTCGCGCTTGATGTTGCTTTCAGCATGACACTTCGGAAAATTTGCGCTTAATTAGGTGCACTGCAGTGACAGACGACAATGTGTGAGAGTACGAAATATGTAACCAGTCTTTATTTTCACTTTTGTTTAAAAGAAAGTAATGCATCTTCAAAACTTTCTTTTTAGAAATATGGTATATATGGCACCTATCAGGCGCAATAAGAAATACAGCTCCTGCCTTGCCGACGCGAGCATCTGCTGAGATGAGAAAAACATTTTAGAAACTCAGATAAGACTTACGAGTATTACTTGTTAATCAGCACAG